AGCTAGTGAGTGATAATACTGTGTGTATTATACTGACGTTTGACCTCTATTAGGTCCATCAGCTACTGTTGATGTCAATAAAGTAAAGAAAGTGATTGATGAGGTTCTTGTATCTCATTATGCTGCACTCAATTGTTTGCCTAAGAAGTCACTTACTGGTCTTGTCAATCAGTTGTACGCAGCTAAGCTTATTAGTAATGAAGTTAGAGAAGCTCCTTCAATGAAAGAGTGCATTGATGAGTTCAAGGCTAGTCTTACTTTTATGGAGGAATTACCTCAAGTGCAGGAGCACTGTCGAAAGTTCTTAAGCTCTTTCATTGCTGTAACAGGCAGTTATGCTGATGCAGCAAAAGCCTTATTTAAAGCTATTAGAAAAGAATTGGGATTTGATTTTATTAATATTGATGATTATAATTTTGATTGATCTTGTTTGATTCATACTGTGTGACTATAATAAAAATTTAATTTGAAGAATTATTAGAGCGAGCCTGAGCAAGCCCCACTCTAGCAGTACTGTAATAAAATACTGGAGGTTTTTAAAATTTTGGTCTTGAGGTTGGTAGAACTAGTGGTAACATTCCTGAGAGGCTCTTTGTCTTACTGAAGTTCATGCACCATATGAAATATAATCCTCTATATATCCTGGCTCACATTAAAATGTGATAGCTATATGTAACCTTCAGTGTTAATTGATTCTTTGTGTTGGATGCAGTAAAGTTAAACAACACTCAAAACCTGAAAAATTAATAAAAATACATGTACATTTATAATTAAAATTATTAATATAGCATGCATTGGGTTCAGCAAGAAAAATTAAAAAAAACATTTGAAAGGTATAATATCAAGTTATTTTTTAAGCTAATTCATCATAAATTATGTACATGTATAATAATGTATTAAGCTTGGGTTACAGTTATCTGGTCTTACAAAAAGGTCGTGCTCAAAATGGCTCACATAATCCACACGTCCTAAGTCAGTTACCACTTACCAACCATGCATCCCGGCCCACTGAGGCCTAGTGACTTTTATTAATTTGGCCTTTATAGCAGTCTGGGAGAGGAATATAGTGAGAGACGTTACCCACAAAATCTTCTTTAGATGAACATTACATTTCAGAGGCGTATTTAGGGGGGGGCTGAGGGGGCTTGAGCACCCCCCTCAGGGCTGGGCTCAGAAAAAATTACTGAAGTCCTGGACTCTTGCATCACTACCAAGCCTCTTAACAAAGTTATCTAGCCCCCTTATCATGATTTCAGCAGTTTCCAGTGCTTTAAGGAGCAATCAGAAGTACCAGTAACATAGCAGTATGCTTGATATGATCTTGGCCCCACCCGTAATTGACGAAAATGCAGGAAAAGGCCGTTTTACCGCCGTAAAAGTGGGTGTGGCCAAAATCGCGGCGCGCTTCGCGCGCCCTCAGCACCCTCCTCCTTCAATTTCTAGATACGCCCCTGACATTTTGTCCATTAGATTTATCTCTCCCTCCGAGTCTTTTCAGAATTCCTGATGAGCAGGCGGCCTGACGGCCTCTTTGTTTGCGTTGCCAGGGTAACACCACACCTCCAATTATATGCATGGCACGGGTGTTTCAACTGGACATTTAGTTTATAAATAGAATAGTTGCGGTAGGTACAACATTGGTCAGTGAGGTGTGACCATTAATCATCACAAAAGAGAAGAGTATTGCTAAGGACATTACTCCAAAGTACTAGCTGCTATGACAGTACTACATTCCATAGACCTAGATAAGGTCTCCTAGGACACCCCTAGCTCATGTGCGCATATATAATATCTACTGTGAATAACTGCGCATTGAGCTAAAGCAGCTGCCTAAAATAAACTCATTTCAGCTGATGGTTTTGAGTGGACTTCCTGGCTTTAGGAAAGTTTTTTCAATTGGAACTATTATCCAAAACTGAAGATCAAAGGTAGTACATTGTAACAAAATATAATTTAGCATGCCACTTTTTTTTGCTAACAAAATATATAGCAC